GTCGTTCTGCAAGACTGTTCGAGGGACGTCATTCTCGGAATGGACTTCCTGTGTGAATACGGCGCCATCATCGACCTTGCAGAGAACAAGCTGACGCTTCGGAAGCCTGTCCCATCGGTGGAAAATACCAAACCGACGTTAGCTGCAGTGCGAGTCCTCGCCAGCCACGTAAACCTGCCGCCGCTGTCTAGTGTCTTTGTGCCCGTCGGGACCGAAGGAGCCACCTGCGGTGTAGCACTGCTGGAAGGAAGCGTCCAACTTCTTTTTGGACGAGGGATTGGCATTGCAAGAGGCGTAACCGAGCTCCAGGACGGGCGTACAGTAGCCCTTGTCACCAACTTCCGGCAAGAGTCGCAGCACCTTACAAAGGGCACAGCTGTGGGCTACGTCGAGGAAATTGAAGACTCAGCCGCGATCGCCGTGATCTCAGAAGACGCCTCTCCGACGCAGAACAAGACAATCACGTCCTCAGAGCTCGACATCGACCCATCCCTCCCAGCCCCACAACGATGACAACTTCGTGACCTTCTCGCCGAGTTCAGTGAGTGCTTCTCCGCGTCGTCGAAAGTGCGCCAAACGACGGTTGCGAAACATCGGATAATTACTGATGACGACGCACTCCCTGTGCATCGGCCGCCGTACAGGGTCTCCGTGAAAGAAAGGGAAGCCATCCAGCAGCAGGTACAAGAAATGCTTGACGACGACATTGTCCAGCCCTCAAGCAGTCCGTGGGCTTCACCGGTAGTCCTGGTGAAAAAGAAAGACGGGACTCTTCGGTTCTGCGTGGACTATCGCCGACTGAACGCCGTAACAAAAAAGGACGTCTACCCGCTGCCACGCATCGACGACACCCTGGACCGGCTACGCCACGCCCGATACTTTTCGTCGATGGACTTGAAGAGCGGGTACTGGCAGATTGAGGTCGACGAACGAGATCGTGAGAAGACGGCCTTCGTCACGCCGGACGGACTGTATGAGTTTAAAGTAATGCCGTTCGGGCTGTGCACAGCGCCGGCAACCTTCCAGCGCGTTATGGACACCGTCCTTGCCGGCTTGAAATGGCAAAGCTGTCTCGTCTACCTCGACGATGTTGTGGTCTTCGCAAGCGAATTCGACGAGCACCTGAGACGACTGCGAGCCGTGCTACAGGCCTTCAAAGCCGCTGGGCTGACCCTCAAGCCTTCCAAGTGTCGGTTCGCCTATGGTGAGCTGAAATTCTTGGGCCACGTCGTGAGTGCTCAGGGTGTAAGCCCTGATCCCGCCAAGACGTCCGCTGTCGCCGAGTTCCCGAAGCCATCAGACAAGAAGACCGTTCGAAGATTCCTTGGGCTGTGCGCCTATTACAGACGTTTCGTTCGTGACTTTGCGCAAATTTCTGCACCGCTGACGCATCTGACGAAAGACGACGTGCAGTTCCAGTGGGGAGAGGAGCAAGAGCAAGCGTTCGACGAACTCAAGCGAAGGCTCCAGTCGCCCCCTATCCTCGGACATTTTGACCAGTCGGCGGAGACTGAAATCCACACGGACGCCAGCAATACCGGTCTCGGCGCGGTACTCGTTCAGCGACAAGAAGGGGCAGAGAGAGTAATCGCTTACGCAAGCCGGGCGCTGTCTAAGGCAGAACAAAATTATTCAACGACCGACAAAGAATGTCTTGCTGTCGTCTGGGCGATAACCAAGTTCCGCCCGTACTTGTACGGGATCCCGTTTCGCGTGGTCACAGACCACCACGCCCTCTGCTGGCTAGCAAACCTCAAGGATCCGTCCGGACGCCTCGCCCGCTGGAGCCTTCGACTGCAGGAATTCGACTTAACAATTGTGCATAAGTCCGGCCGCAAGCATAATGACGCTGACTGTTTGTCTAGGGCTCCAGTCGAACCTCCAATCTCCGGCGCGGACGACGATGACGACGCCCGTTTTCTAGGCGCAGTTAACGCAACCGACATGAGGGCACTGCAACGCGACGACGCGGAACTTAGCTCCGTGATCGACAACCTCGAAGGTCGAGGAGGCTCTGTCCCACGGGTCTTTTCTCGGGACCTACCGAGCTTTGTCCTGCGACGAGGCGTGCTCTTCAGAAAGAATTTCGGAACCAGCGAAACCCCCTGGCTACTGGTTGTCCCCGCCAGCCTCCGAGAAGAAATTTTTCAAGCGTGCCACGACGACCCAACGGCCGGACATCTCGGCTACAGCAGGACCCTTGCCCGGATTCGTGACAAGTACTACTGGCCAAAGCTTCCGAAGACCGTCCATCTCTACACACGATCGTGCCATGAGTGCCAGCGACGCAAGAAACCACCGTCAAAGCCAGCAGGTCTCCTTCAGCCGATTACCCCGCCAACCAAGCCCTTCCAGCAAATTGGAATGGATTTGCTGGGTCCTTTTCCACCGTCGACGATGGGGAACCGCTGGATAATCGTCGCCACCGATTATCTTACTCGTTACGCCGAGACGAAAGCGCTTCCTTCGGGGACTGCTGTCGAAGTCGCCAGGTTCTTCATCGAGTCCATCGTCCTCCGCCATGGCGCCCCCGAAGTACTGATCACAGACCGAGGGTCATCGTTTATGGCACAGTTGACCCAAGAGATCCTGCGTTTAAGCCACACGGAACACCGTCGAACAACGGCATACCATCCGCAGACCAACGGGTTGACGGAGCGGCTCAACAAAACAATCGCCGACATGGTCTCTATGTACGTCGACGTGGAGCACAAGACCTGGGACGAAGTGCTGCCCTACGTCACGTTCGCCTACAACACAGCTGTGCAAGAGACCACAGGAGTGACGCCCTTCCAGCTGGTGTATGGCCGGGCGGTGACGACTATGCTAGACTCTATGTTGCCGCACGAGTCAGTCGACGACGGGAGCGATGACGCCCAGGTGGTTGCTCAACGGGCAGAAGAGGTGCGCCAGCTAGCCAGACTACGAATTCAAGACCAGCAACATGTCGACGCTCGCCGGTATAATCTTCGTCGCCGCGACGTCCACTTCCAGCCCGGAGACAGAGTTTGGGTGTGGACGCCGATTCGTCGTCGCGGTCTCAGCGAAAAACTCCTGAAGCGCTACTTTGGGCCCTACAAGATCATCCGACGCCTCGGCGATCTGAACTACGAAGTTCTACCCGACGGAACGCGCCCATCTGCAAGACGTCAGCCGCGACCCGAGGTGGTGCATGTCGTCCGGCTGAAGCCGTATTACGAACGATAGGACTCTCCACTCTCGTCGACGAGTGAACTGTGGACTGTGAACTCCGGCTAGCAATTCTGCTGTCCTTTTGTTTTTTGTTTTCCGTTTTTGTGCTGCATCGGGACGATGCACTTTTAAAGGGGGGGATAATGCCGCGCTCAGGGCTGAGAAAGCAACGCTCGGTCACGGATCTCCAGAAAGTTCTTGTTTATTCATGTACCGCACGTAACTTCTATCATTTATTCCTGCTTTTGTTTTCTAGAAAGTGCGTGTTCATTCTCGCCCGATCACGCGACGCTCGAGCCGCTTTCGCCGAATCTTCGAGATAGCGACGCACTCTAGATAAGAGGCCGCCCGCGACCTTGTCGAGTCAGTTTCGCCTCAGCGTTCGATCTTGCTGCTTCGCCGCCTTCGACGCCCGCGACGCTCTGTTGTTATCTTTGTTTCTGCTTTTACTTCTTGGGCACAAGTTCGCCCGATTAAACGTTCAGTTTACTCTGTTATTCGCCGCCTCATCACTTGTCATTCGTGACAATATGTGGGCTCTCTTTGTTTTTCATTCACTCATTTCCGTATCCCGTGTTCGTTTATAGTGAACTCCCCATTTAGGGATTATGAATTGTAGTTAAAGGAACACTGACAGGGTATTTAAGGTGGCGAAGGTTTTTATTTGTTATTTTTTCATGACATATAAAACCTCAATTACACAAAACACAATTTGCGGCTCGAAAGTAATTATCTTTCCACCCGAAAACCGCCGATCGAGAAGTGGCCGGTTTGATTCCCCCTTAGTCTCTTCTTCTTGGACACCTGCTGTTTTCTATGGTTTTGACAGAACCACCAGATAATCAAATTTATGGCTCATCCAAGGCACTCAATCAATACAAAGAGTTGACAAAAATATGATGCCCATTTTTTGTAGCTTCTAAAAGACTGTAAACAAGTTGATTGAAAAAAAAAAAGTTGCACATCCACGTGCTTTTCGGTAACTTTCTCCTCTATATTTCTTCTTCCTTCCAGTCCAGTTTCGGTTTTGAGCAGTTGCGTATTTTGACTTCATTAAAAATATATGACGCTGTTGAAAAATATTGTTTCTGTAGTTTCCTGACACTATATTAATCCCCTGGCAAACTATTAAAAAACGTTGGGGAGTGGTAGTGTCCCCTCAAACGATGGGTCTAATGGGCGCCACAAGACGTGGTATTCAGCAACGCCACTATAGCTAAAGCGACCTTTTTTTTCTCCCATAAATGTTGTGTAACTTGTATCAGTGATTTCCTGCTCCTTATAGTTGGACTGCATAGAATAGCCCTACGATTTGTTTTTGTCGTTTTGTGCTGTCGCGTGCAAATAAATCATTCTGGTAAACAAGATTTTCTCAACTGTATAATTGTGTTTGTCATAGACGTCGATACAAATTACGCAACGCGGATGTATCTTCAAGTGTTTGTACTCTACTCCATATGCTTTACAGTGTACGTAACTTCAGTAGCAGTTTAAATACTTTATGAAGCAGGTATTTGGTAACTTAAATACTGTTATTGAGTATTTCGTACAACTTTGTTTCCAGGGTTTAGTCTGTGTGTACGCGCGCGTTTGTTTCCTATGCGAAATAATATACAAGACCCGGGTTTTTTATGTTTGCAATTTTAGCAAAGTTCTCCTGCGTCGCTTACTTCGCATGTCTGACCTTTTGTGATAAATTAACAACCGATGTACCGCACCGCTGGCCGAACCACCGGCAGATTTTTGCGAAGTCCCTCTCCTTGAAACTTTGATAAGTAATGTCTGCTTTACGCACCTTTATTTTTTAGCGGCAAATCGAACGGTAAGCTGTTCCCAGATACAAATGAAGAAACGCAGCAGGAGCGATGATTATGTAATTTATCCTCGCAACGACCCAGTAAATGTTAGGTGTGACATGGAGTCCGATGGCGGCGGATGGACAGTAAGTATCTCCTCATAGAGGAGAGAATACAAATTGCACTTTTAAAGATATCTTTACCCTTTTTATTTTGATGAACAGGCAAGATCGTTCAAAAGGGGCAGTGTAACAATTTTAAGGGGTGTCAGTAGTCGATTGTGTTAATGTACCACAACTAAGAGCACGTGAATTGGAGGCTCCAGCTGCAGAACCCCGGGATCCTTGATTTAGTCTCCACGTCAGCCCGTTCAAACTGGATCATCATCATATATCTTCACGAGTTCGTGTATTGCTATGCACTGCGTGGCTCACCCTAAAAACTGCAGGTTAGCATTCGTACTCCACTGGACATATTTCTCATCTACGGCGTGTAACAATTTTGCCATACTCTGGCGGACTAACCAAATACTGTTCAAACGTCGTTGCGACGAATGAGCACGTTTCGCAATTATCTGCTGAGTTTAAAGCTTGAATTTGAGTAAATGTGCCAAAAACCTTTCTTCGCCATCAATATTCACTAAGTGGAGCTTAATAATAATAATAATAATATCTTTATTTACATCACTCTTGATAGGGGAGCCCTGTTGTGCTATCGTAAACCCGACGTCAACAAAACCATCCCCTTTTTTCTGCTTTCGTAACGAACCCATAAAAGCGCGTGTTTACACCTCTCCTCGTCAGAAGTTGACTCCCGGCCGCCGACATCTTCGAAACCGACAGATTGTGTTGTTCGAACACTACCAAACCGGAGCTTTGAAAGTGTTTTAATCCGACGCGGAATCCTCGAGACCACCAGAGAACGAAAATTAATGTTGAGCGGGTTGGTAAAGATGATTTGAAAAGCACGAAACAATAAAACATGTGGGCGCGAGGACAGACAGTACAGTTATAGTGACCTATAGTTCACTGTAGTAGAGTTCTTTCAACTAGCAACCGACATTTAATGATGCCACCGAAGCCATTTTCAATGCCTCAGCCGTTTTTTCCCACAACCCAAAATCCCTCGGAAGAAGGAAAAAAAAACCTTCGGTATGAAGAAGAAACCCGGGAAAAAGAAGAGAGAGAAGAAATATCATTCCGAGGACACCTAAGCATTTCTTATCAGTTCGGAATGCGAAAGCATAAATGTTATCTCCCGTTCCCTCAGTTCGTATGCAGTGTACTGGCCGTGGTCGGCCACGTTTCGCAAGTGCCGAGGTTGAGGTCGCTGGCGAAATAGATGCCTGAGGCGCCGCCATGTTCCTCGGTGCCGAGAGGGGCAGAAGTGGCCGCAGCCCCCACCCCCTTCCGCAACGCCTGACACGAAAGCGGCGGCCGAGCGCGCGCTCTCGTGTAGCTGCTGCAGCCGCCCCCCCCCCCCCCCCCCCCCCTCCCCGCCTTCCCTCCGGCAACGCCTACTACGAAAGGTTTTTCCCCACAAGTGCTCGACTAAAGGGCCCTCACCCGCCCCCCGCCCCCTCCCTTGAAAAAATATATTTTTTAAACAGTCCGGTTGGGACACGCGTATCAAGAAATAAATTTTAAACGAAAAAAGAAAAATGACAGCAATATCGACGGCGTCAGGCGCGATTTAGTCGGCAGTCACCTCCTTTCCACTTTTTTTTCTCTCTCGGCATTCCGGGCGCGGGGAAGAGCGGTGGAGCGGATTCGCCTTCGCGACCGAGATGGTCATTCCGGAAGGACCAGTGACGTCATGAACTTCGCACGCAGAATTACGAATAAACCTCTCGCCGTCAATATTGCTCTAAATTTCTTTATCACGTCAAATGTATTGTTTGACAGGCGTGTCTTAACCAGATTGTTTGAATTTTGGTTTCCTTTCGGGGGCCTTTAGTTAACGGAAAACGTTTTAAACGTCCTATATATGATTTAGAGTTCTCTAGATTACTAAGTTAACAAACTGACTGTGCGGAAAAACCCCTTACCGTTTTATACTATGAATACTATCGATGCATAAGTTTTGGTGAACTGTGTGTGGACTCGAGAATCAATAAAAACTATGATCATGTTACAAAAATAACTAATACTTAAGTGAACAACGAAATGACGGAGGTAAGCATCGTAGAATGCAGGTGCAAATATGTCTTTTCAAACGCACTGCTTAATATGACAAAATAATATATCTCAAATAAATTTTATTGCATTTATGAAACCACATAAAAAGCTTCTCATATATGAAAACCCGTATTTTTTTAAAATGACGTTCAATGTTGTAGTTTTAGCTTTTCCTTTCATGTTTACAGTGTTGTGTCTTTTATTTAAACTATACTTAAATTAAGAATATTACAGTTTCTAAATAGTCCCTATTAAAAAAAAAAAACAGCGTATAGACGCAGTAAAGAATGCCCCTCCCTGAGGGTCACAGGTTGTTTTGTCCCGGTCCTGCCTAGAAGTCGTAGGTCAGGGCCGGGCGATCGTGGACAGCCGCGCTGGATGGTCGCTTCTTGCTCGTTGGTGGTGGCGGAGCCTCGAAGAAAGACGCTCAAAGTCGGGACCAACGGTTGAAAAAAACAAATGTATTAAAACGTCAACAGTAAACTTGGTTACAGGACTCTACTGTCCGCTCAAGGCAGTAGAAATACCAAAAAACCGCGCCTCGGCGCAAAGTGCCCACCGCGCACGGTGAGGCCCAAAGAAACTGCTCGTCGCTCGCGACAAAGCTACACGGACCGGCGGACCGCGGGAGATAACTTGCTCCGCGCACGGGCTTGTTCAAACTCAACGTTTTCTCGCCAGCGCGGACGAGAAAACTCCCGCTGACACAGGGCCTGTCCAATCAGGACGACTATACAATTCTATTGGCCCCAGTGCCGGCGGGTCCTCCACCAATCACAGAGAGGCCACGGAACTCGTTATTTCCCTTTTCTAAGAAGAGAAACAATGCTAAACCCCTTGGGGAACTCTCCAATCGGGGCGATACTTTACTACTTTACGGAGAAAACACCCTCCACTTCGCTGCGTCAAAACAAATTAACGCCGTGTCCTTCGAAATTAGCGAGTAAAGCGTAATAGAGTCCAAGTGGACCCAGGCCGGCGCCCCTCATTGCTAAAACCTTGCTGTAGCAGTCTCCCGACCAGACAAGCCGTCACTGGGAATGCGCCGTGACGGCAAAGCCGGGGAGGGTGCCACTACCTCGCGGAGACACGCAAGAATGTCTGTCTCCTTCCCGGGCCATAGATTAAAAAGGGCTCAAGCCGCTCATCCCCCTATCCTCGGGGCGAGCCGTCGGGGTGCCCCCATCCGAACGGTTGAAGGTCGATTCACTCAGTTTCCAGGAAACAACAAAATTCTCAAGCGATCCCTACAAACGCTTTGCAGCAGCTGTTCATGGGTGCCGCCATAACCGACCTTCATTTTGTGTTTCGTCTTATTTTGATCACTTCGCTCCATCATTACCACCGCAGAGCAAGTTATTGCAATTCTAGATTCGAGCGTGTCCTTCTCCCCAGCATTGACCTTTGGGGAGGCTGGTCAAAGCCCGTTTTAGTGGCTCGGTATCTCGATAAGATAAGGGAAGGCCAGCAATGGCGGTTCTAATCTGTCGCATGTGTAAAGCGTCCCTGCATTTTTCATGCGAATTTTCGTATAGCAATATGGGGTACGGGTCAAACGGTTGGTACGGGTCGTAGAGGTCATATGGTTCAGACGGGTCGTACGGTTGGTACGGCTGATTTGGTTTGTATGGTCCATATGGTTGTTATGGATGATGTTGTTTATATGATTGATAGGCTCTATCGGTCAACGCGCTGTTTACAAAGAAGCCCTCACGAGGTGTGGGCACACCGCGTGCGCAGGAACCAGATTCCCCTGACGGGAAGCGTCTGCGCCCTAACAGCGCTTTTAGATAGAACCTTCCAATGGATATGTTTTTGTGTCTAAATAATGGTACATCGAGAGCTAGCTCGATTCAAACTTGGTCCATTATTGTCAAAGATGCATGATTCAGGAATCCTTATTTTATAAAATAAAATAAAAATACACAATTCCAGTGTACTTTAACCCTTCTATATAAAGTATTAAAGCTGTAAAAAAAATTACCAGTGTTGCGAAAAAGATAACCTAAACGTTGCGAGACTCTAAAATATGTCACTAGTGAAAACATAAAATCGCAAGACTTACCTTCTGCCCTTTCAAAATCAAAATCTGAACAAAGAACAAATTCTGCAGTTCTAATTTGCAGTGTTTTTCTAGTAACATATTTTCAAAGAACATTATTTTTCCAGAATCTTTTAGGAGCCATCATTTCTCCCTACACGATTTGAGATTGAATCACCCATATATTATATCTATATAAACCCCTGGTAAAAGCAGCAACGACGGACGGTTCATTTTTTCGACGTCTCGGCCGGTGTCCGGTCAACGTCAGCTTTCCTTATGAAGGCCGGCCTCCGGCCGAAACGTTGTATTCGTCCGTCTTTTTATTATTATTATTTTCCTCATCTCGGGGCTTACAAGCATGTCGTTTCCGAGCCAACCAGCCTGCCCTCTCACCTCTTACTAATCCTCTTTTTGTTTTCCTTCTCCTTAGCTGTCTAGAGTGACTTGAACTAACTTGCAATGGAAAAACATTAAGTAACATATGACTCCTTAAGATAAAAACGACAACGAACTGACCTAGCTTGTCTTCGTGCCGCACGAAGTTGGTTCCATGGAGCCATTTTTTACAACAGACAAAGGCTGCACAGCGGTGCTGGTCTGTCGCGTAGGGTTAAAAAAGTCATGTTCTTCAGTTAGTTATGTGTTTGTGTTGCGTTGCCTTCTAAGTTCCCCTCTGCCCTCCTTTTCCCCGGATCATTTGCTCACGAAGAACTGTTGGCGGAAGCCACTGCTGCCGGCAGTTGAGAACTGTGTGCACAGCACATTACCGTGAAGTCCAAACTCTCAGGAAGGTCTATCGCCGCGAAAACAAGACAAGGGAAGTAGTATCTGGAGAGTCGTGTTCAAGATTGCGTGACGACAAACAAACCATCTGACCTTTCCTAAGTGGCGATGCGTAACGTACAACTAAATACAGCGGAAGCCG